TATCAAGAGAATCACTGGGGTTCCTACTTAAGCAATTTTAGAAAGTAGCTGCATTTGAAATCTCTGCTCCAACTGAAACTTCTGCTCGCTTAAAAAGGTAAAAGAGTATTTGCTTGGTGCTTCCTTTTAATCTCTCTGGCTTCCCTTCCCTTTAAAAGAAAATTTGCAGCTAGCATTTTATTGATTGAGACAGCAGATACAATAGGTTTAGAACCATGGATACTTTGAAAAATCCAAGTTCCAAGACTTTTGTGCTTAGTTATCAAGTTGTGGCCACTTCCCATCAACCATCAGCAGACCAGCTTTTTGTGGTTATGGTGCTCTACCCTTGGACAACCTAGTAGTGCAGGTAGCGGTGGATGGTGCAGGGTGACAAAACTATCCCAATTTTAGCAGATTCCTGCTCCAGGAAACTGTGGTCCCAGGCAAACAGAAAACTGGGGTGTTGGTGGTTTGTAGCAGTTGAGGGAGGATGGGAGACCACTTAGAGATGAGAGGTAGAAAGTAGAAAGTATCAAGACTTTGGGGCGATGTATATCTGCATTTGAATCCTGGCTCTACCACCAACCATCACTTCACCTCTCTGGTCCTGTGGAGAGCTCTGGGAAAACAGAGAATTTTCTGTTACAGCCATGCGCTTGGCTTCTGTCTTGCTATTTATCAGCCCCTTCATGTGTTTACTCACCAAAAGCAGAGAATGAGGTCTGTGTGCTGGAACAGACCTGGGTGCTAGAGATGCAAACTGAAGGCTCACAGTTCTGCCCTCTCCGAGCCCAGAGCTCAGCGCCATCTGTGTCCCTGCAGCCATAGTGGAGGCTTTTCAGTAGCAATCCTGCAGGACTTTCTGCCTGGATGGTCCACATTCATCGCTCTTGTAACGCAAGAACAGCCTTTCTTCCTGGGAGATAGGAGTCTGAGCTCCTTAAAGACAGCCTTTCAGACTAAAAGAATCAGATCTTTCTTGACCCTTCAGATTTTGAAAGCTGTTAGTCCTGCTCTCTTTAAGTCTCATTTTCCCTATTTGGAGTCCCAACTCTGTCCCTTACTAGCAGTGTAACCTTGAGCAAGTGACAACTGCTTTTCGGGCCTTAGTTGTTCTGTAAAATAGGGATAATAGTGATTCCCATCTCATGAGTTGTTAGGTAGATTCAATGTGGTCATTCCTATTGAGCATTTAGCAGAGTGTCTGCCACATAGTTAACAATAAATGGAAAGAATGAAATGATTCCATTTTGTGTGTGTCTCCGAGGATCTTGGGGCCAGCTCCTCTCTACCCCTTGCCCAGACTCCGAGCACCTCAGACAGACGAGCCACATCTCATTTTATTTGCCTCCGTGTCCACACCCAGCCCCTGCCTGGTAGATAGTAGGTGCTTAATAGTATTGGTTTATGACCTGATGGTGATGACGATATGACTTATATTCCAGGGTTAAAAAGGGTAAGATAAGAAAATACATTTGAAAGCACACTGTAATAAAAAGCACAACACTGGGTATGTCGTTCCACTAAGATGTTTATCATAGTGCATTGTTCATCACTTGCTCACGTATCTTTTCTGCCCTCTAGTTCGAGTACTTCTCCAATGCAGACTACATCTTATCTCTGAATCCCACTCCCAACACCTGTCCAGTGTCCTACACAGAGTAGATGCTCAGGTAGCTTAATTGAATGCAAATGTCATACAAAAGTAAGGAATTGAGAAATTATTATTAGGGTTGGGAAAGAGGGCTGGTAAATACAGACCAGTTCTTCTTTCCTTCATGGTGCTACCTTTACACAAGCAGACACTCAAATGTTCCTTTAAAAAAACATGTTCCCAGGGGAATGAGGAAATAGAAGGAGGGCAAAGGAGGAAGGGCAGAAATAACAGTTTCATGATCCGAGCACCTGCCCCTAGAAGCTGGCACTTAGGGCACATCTGCACAAGCTCTTGGGTGGAATTAATGTGATCAGCTTAGAGTTTGGGGGTTCCCGCCCTGATTCATTATCAGCTGAAAACTGTTGAAGTGTTTGGCATACCCAAGGTGTATTAGCTGCGGAGTTTTGTCATCTGGTACAGATTGGGGCTCCTCTCCTATGAATGGGCTGTTGGGGCCAGTGTTTTGAGGCTCTGGGCTTGTCTGGGCAATATGGGAAGGTTAGAAGTATCTAAGTGAGGTCCTTACTCTTCTGACTCCCCAAAGGGTCATCTGTCAAAAGTTCCTCTTTTGCATCCTCAGTGGCTCAAAAGAATATGCCAGTGTGTAAGGTCATTGTTACAACAGCTGATGGTGGTGCTGAGGAAGGGCCCCTGCAAAGTCATGTTCTGAGATTGGCCCTGTTCTTGGTCTTGGAGGGAAGGCTTGGCTGATGGGCATGCAACATTGGAGAGGTGTTCAGGTCAGGTCCAATTTGCTGCGTTCTGGCCCCCAGGCATTTCAGGGGTCACTCGTCTTCACATGGAGCCGAGGCTGGCTTGTTCCCCCTCTCTGGGAGGGTCATACTTAGTGTGAGCACTTAGGTTGGCTCCATTTCCCCAGGGGTGAGGAAGCCAGCAGCAGGAAAGATTGAGCTGCAGCAGGGAAACCCAAAGGCCAAGTTTTAAGAGTATCTGTTGGGGATGCTGACTCGGTGCTGGTCAGAGTGGGAGCTGAAGCGCTTACTATTTTACAATAAATACTAATAAAATTCTAGATCTATAATAACATTTCAGATCTCTAAAACAAACCATGTGCTTGTAAAAAAGTGGAAAGAGATCAACTTTAAGCCATAAATTCTTGGTAATAGAGGGTTTTTTTTCTATTTATGTTTGATAGATATTTTTGTTTCCAGAGGAATGTCAACTCCTAATTTCATAATGTATCATGGGCTTAAGAAAATTGAATTTAATAAAAGCCAGAGATGAATGGCATCCTTAAAGGTCCCAACACTTGTCTTTATTAGCAGGACAAACTGCAGGTCTCCAAACACTGCTTCTCTCCAAATGAAAGTTTAAATGAAAAGTACAGTTGTGTCACAGGTTAAATTTCATTGTGGGCCCAGCTAACATTGTTAGTGAGGAGCTGGCTGTATTTGTTTCCTTAGACACCAGGGCAGCCAAACTCACCAGGCTACGGAGGTCTTTCTGTTGGGGAAGTGTTTCTCCTACTTAGCGGCAGAGGAAGGATATATCAGAAGTGAGCCTGACTCAGATGAGCCCCACCTCAGGGTTAGCACTTGGAAATCTTGGGTATCTGATTTCAAAATACACATTGGGGACCCAGTGTGTATTTTCTGTGTGTGTGCCTCAGTTCTGTTTTTCAGAGCCAAACTCTCCTCTCTGGCCTACTTCCTAGTGCGGTGGGAGGAGAGGCATTACCTAGTCTAAGCAGCAGCCTGGGCTTCCTCTCTGTTCCCTTCTGCCTCAGTCTTGCAGTCTTTCTGCCCTTCCTATCTCTGGGGGCTCCTGTCAGCTTCCCCATCTTTGGGGGCACTCCGGGGAGACCAGTCAACCAGAACCTTTGAATTTCTCAGTCATGAAATCTGGCTGCCTTGATTTGTTCTTCAGTCCTGCTGTGATGTGTTGGATAAAGATGCTTTAAAAATGAGGCCAACAGAGCAGGTATGTTTGGTGGGGAGACGCCAGGCTGCCGTGGAATATCAGGGAGATGGGCTGTTTCTCCTTCTGTCTCCCGGCTCATCCATTTCCTTAGTGCAGTCGGGTGTCAACGGCTTCTGTGTTGCCTCTTCAGGCTGTCCCTGGAGAGAGCCAGTTTGCCTTGATTTTAGTGATACTGGAAAGGTCCGCACCAGAACGGGGGACCTGGGATAGGGATGCCACTGGGGCTGACTGTGGTGGCCACTGAGTGGGCAAAGCCCCCCTCCTCTCTCTTCAGTGGAGGCCTTTTTCACATGCTAATTTTACTGGGAGGATTTTGGTGTTTTTTTAAATTTATTTTTATTATTTCCTATTTGTCTCTTCCAGATGTTTTCAGGGCAGTTTTTTTGTGTTGTAAACTAATTCCATTCATGTTTTAAAAATTTATGAAAGCGCTAATAAAAATGTCAAAGTGGTAAAAATGTTAGCTTTTCCTCTGCTTTGATTAAATTTTGCAAACTGTTTTTGAATATTAAAAAGCACTCATTTTTTTTATTCTCTCTCCTGGCTTTCCCTCTTCTCTCCAGCATGTGCGTGCTCTCTCCGGCCCTCTCCCCACTCTGGCGTGTTCCTCCCTTCCCAGGAGCGATGTATGAGGCGGGCTGCACAGCCGGCGTGCTGCAAGCCTGTTTGCACACCAGGACCTTGGTGCTGTGCATCTCTATTAAATAATGGAGACAAATTAATCTTAGAGACACCAAACAAATTGTCACTCCTCCTTCTCTTCCATTACGTTCCAGTGGACTGGGAAGGGCTGGTTAAGTGATTGGGTTGGGGGGGGCAGGGGGAGAAGCTGAGGGGTGGGCGTACTGCCTGAAAGAAAGGTGGGAGGGCACTAACTCTTATTACTCTTATTCAGTTTTCCTCTTCAGTATCCCCTTTGGCCCCTTTGGCTTTATTTATTATTTATCTTTTTTATTTCCTTTTGTAAAAACTAATGAAACTCATCGGCTCTGTTTAAACTTCATATATGGAAGTCTGTGCATTAGTCTGATGGCTGGTTATTTATGTGACTGGAGACCCAGGCCCATTCCAGGGCAGGGACCTGGGCAAGAGGAAGGGGGTCCTACTTTTAGGGGCTCGAGTGAGCAGGCCTCTGCTAGAGAACCAGTTGGGGAAATCAGGGCAGATGTTCCCACTGTCTTCCCTCCCCTTTCCAGAGACAGTGGGAATGGTATATGTGTCGAGTCCCTGGAACCTGTGAGGATGTTAACAGCGGGAGGGTTAGGATTATAACTGAGCTGGCACCATCTCACTCAATCTTGGGTTTGGCCTGGCAGGAGCTAATGAGTCCAAAACACTCCCCCATTCTTGACTCTGGGTTATTTGAAATGGTTAGTTAAAAAAAACTCATTCCTCCTTTTCTGTGCCTTTGCCGTTCCAGGAAATCATCGAGTTCCCCATCCTGAAGCTAAATGGCCGGACCATGGAGATTGAGTCTACCTTTCACATGTATGTCCAGCCCGTAGTCCATCCACAGCTTACTCCTTTCTGTACAGAGGTAAGGGCCCTGGCTGGGCAGCAAGGGTTGCTGGGACGGGAGCCTGGGGATCACTTGTGCTCTATACGGGCTGCTTAGGTCTTTTCAGTGGTTAAGGCAGGTGTGCATTGGACCCAGTCAGCTTTTTACAAAGCCTGCCACTCCCCTTGGACCAGTGTGGTCATTGGGGGACCCAGGGAGAGCAGTGGCACAATCTGTCCCAGCTTCCCCAACATTTTCCCTTCCTTGTCATCCCTCCCCTTCTTGGTGACCAGGCACTTGGAATTTAGGAGCAGGGTGGTGCCTCTGGGGTTCAGCTTCTTTTCAGTTCCATTTCCCTTAGGGCCCTTGGCAAGAGATGAAGATTTCAGCTTCTTGGAAGCAGAGGTTATGTTCAGGCTTTCTTAGCTTTCTGGTGATGTTTTTCTGTGCTTGAGCAAAGTGGTTCTGTGTGAAGCATTGGCTGAATTTGTGGGAAGCACAGCGCTATCACTGAGGAAAGACAAGAGCAGTCCAAGTGGGGTATGAGGACAGCCTGGCTGAGGCTGAAATGTCCTTATCCTTATCCTAGGCTGGTTCTGTACTCGGCCACCTTGCCAACAGGTTAGTATGGCCCCATTTCACAGATTGTGAAACCGGGACTAACTGAGATCTTGATGCTTTCTGGAGGCTCAAAGAGCCATCGGCAGAGAGGAGGTGCCCCTGAAGAGTCTGACTCCCAGGACTGTATGTAGAGGCCTTCTATGGCTGCTTTTCCCTGCGGTGCATTGTGTTATTTACTCTGTGGTAGCCACAAGCTGTGTGTGGTGGAATCACCAGTCAAGTGTGTGTGGTAGAGGTGATGGGAAAACATGAGCGTTTTTGGAATCTTAAGCATTTGGGGTGAGAATACATTAGAGACTTTGTGCCTTCATTTAGAGACCTACTTTCTTCATATGAATGAAACAGGAGGAAAGAAGTTCTTGAGTAATCCCGAAACAATCCCTTTGGTGTGGAAGGGGCTGGGGAAGGGCCTGCCTGCACTGCTGGGGGTGCTCAGTGGGCTCTGAGACTGACTTAGCCCAAATATGAGTCTTAAGGGTCTCTCCAGGGCTGGATGCCAGTGACCCAGGTGGGCCTTTTGTTGTAGGCATCCATCTGCCAAGGTGTCTAGTCTCTCAAGCCTTTTGTTGTTCCAACCAATGCTTTTGAGGCTCTTGCTTCCTCTGGGGTCAACTGTTTTTCCCCCTCTTTCCCCTGGGAATTACCTATACCACTAGGGGGTGCTAATCTGTCCTGTTTGCCCCTTTTGAAAAAAATCATCATTTTAATGATGATGAAAATCCCCTTCCTTATGGGAAGGGAAGGGAAGACTTTCCTTAAACCAGCCAGATACCTGAGCCCTCCACTGGCCTGAAAGTGTAATGTCCTCTTATCCTTTTCTTCCTCTTCCGTATGTGTGACCTCCCCCTTGGGGGCTCCAGTTCCAGCTTGCTGCCTGGCATAGACAGGCAGGCCTAAATTTGGGGAAGTTGCTACTTGTTTAGGAATGGAGCAGAGCACTGCTGGAACTCAGCCCTGGGCAGGAATGGATGATTGAGAATATTGGGAAAAGGGTTTTTTTTTTCAGAGCAGGGCTGCTGCTGCTTCTCTTTTGGGGAAGGGGAGGAAGGATTGTGAGCCTTTTTTTTTTTTTAATTTTTTATTTATTTATTTAATTTTGGCTGCATCGGGTCTTTGTTGCTGTGTGCGGGCTTTCTTTATTTGCAGCAAGCGGGGGCTACTCTTCGTTGCGGTGGCTTCTCTTGTTGCAGAGCACGGGCTCTAGGCGCACGGGCTTCAGTAGTTGTGGCACGTGGGCTCAGTAGTTGTGGCTCGCGGGCTCTAGAGCGCAGGCTCAGTAGTTGTGGTGCACGGGCTTAGTTGCTCCGCGGCACGTGGGATATTCCCGGACCAGGGCTCAAACCTGTGTCTCCTGCATTGGCAGGCCGATTCTTAACCACTGCGCTACCAGGGAAGTCCCGATTGTGAGACTTTGATGAAAGATGTTTATTTTTTGTAGAAAGTTTCACCCAAGGACACACATACATAATTTGGAGGGTAGTAGGCTTGGTGGTGTGGGATCCTCATTACGAAGCCTGCTCTGAAGTGAGGCTGTGGCTGTGCTGTAGGTATCGATTTTGCCATTTTGTCTCGGGCTTCCAGAGCTCAGAACTCTCCCTGGCCTGGTCCCTGCCTTTGCATCCAGCCTCAGATCTCCCTGCTTCGTCTCCCCCTGACTTCCCTCAGTCTGCCTCTGCACGCGATGGTCTTTCTGCCTCTGTGTTGCGCCCACCCTCCTACTTGTCCTGCAGCACCCTGCTCAGGGTCACCTTCTCTGGGAAGCCTTCCTTGAGCCCAGGCTGGGCTGTGCTCACCCCAGCGTAGCACCAGTCAGATACATTATACTGCAGTCATTTATCCTCTCTCCACTAGATTGTGAGTTCCTTGAGGGCAGAAATTAGATCTGATCCATCTCGGTCCCATCCTTAGGGCCTGGCACCAAGTAAAAATACATGTTCCTTGAGTGAATATTGTCAAGGAGTTTTTCAACCACACCTTGCCTCCCCTCAGAGTAGCTGTACTGCTGAGTTGCTCTTTTGAGTAAGTAAAGTCTTCTTTGTAAAACCTCAGATCGTCTAAATATTGCCCCATCTTCATACTAGATGGATTGTAATGCAAAGAGAGGCATGGACACGGGACGCGGCTGTCGTTCTGAGACCTCATCCAATCTGGCGGTAGTTGCCTTTGCGGGTCGGGAGGGAGGTCATTACGGCCAGAAGGAATCTTTCATTAGTAAGTGTGAGGAACAAAAACCTCCAGATTTTCCTAGGCAGCTCCTCTGGTAGGATTTTCTCTCTTGCACAAGAAGTGTTTTAAGAACCCTGACTGTGTGGGTACATGCACAAGCACATGCTTGTGTTGGGAGAGAGACGGGCTCAGTGCTGGGCAGTAGGAAGAGGGATTCTGCCTTGAGTGAGTCTGCAGCCCACATGTAGACACTCTTACTTGCTCTGTGTAATGGACATGTTGTTAGCCTTCTTGAGGTCCTTTCTTGGTTCCAGTTGATAGTTGGTCTGGAGACATGGTTCTGACAGAGATAGGATGGGATGTGTTTCTTTCCTTTCCCTACCACCTCTAGAATCTGCTCCAACTCATCAGATCTCTGTCTCTAGCAGCTGGGCTGACCATGTGCAGTCTTTTTTGTTGTTGTTGTCATTGTGAGGAAAAAAAACCAGGAAAAATACCCATTTTGCTAACTGCCAGTAAAGGGCTTTGTCTTGCACCTGTACTTATAAAGGGTGAGATTTATTGGTCTCTTTGTCTGAGGAGAAAGAGTGGGTCTGATTATCAGATTGCACACCAGAGACAAGTGCTTATGTAATCAACAAACTGTCTTGGTGTCAGAATACGATTGTGCTGGAGATAAACTGTGAAGGGAGAAAGCACTGGATGCTGACATGCTATTGGCACCGAGTGTCCTGGGCTGCTTCGTGTAGTTGCCAGTGTTTATGAGGAAGCCAGCTCGTTCCTGGACAAAGCCCTTGTGCGGGAGGGGATCTCAGTAACCAGCCATGTTATCAGTCAGGGTCAAAAGCTCCTCGCCTTGTGGTTTCTGAGTCTGGAGAAGCGGGAGTTAATCTGTAATCCCTCAGTGAAAGGAGCCACAGAGCACACATTAATTCTTCCTCTCACCTCTCCTGCTTTAAGTGGTTAAGGTCTCTGAGCTCTGTTTAGCGTGTGAGCCCTGGTTCTCAGCTTAATAAATACTTGGCTTTGCTCTAGTACCTTTCATTGTGAGGCTGTGAAAGCTTTTTACAAACATATATTAACCCAAGTGGGAATGGGCTTAAAGAGCAGCATGAAAGATTTAGGTTAGGCATAAGGTATAACTTCCCAGTATTTATTTTATTATATTGTCTCTCTTCCTCACAGTTTGTGGTACAAGTCTTATAGGTTGTCAGTATCAGGTACAGGGACTGACTTTTAAGATTTCATCCCCTTTTCATCCAGTGCCTTGGCAGAGCTGATAAGATGTGGTCCATTGTTGGAGGCATTAATGCAGGGGAGTGAGGCCTGCCCCTGAAAGGATCTCCAGCCCCTGTGTCTCTGGGGGTTGAGTTCAAGTCCTTCAGCTGTAAGCCGTAAGTCATGTCCTGCTGGACATGGTGGTCTGGGAAGCATGGAGAGGGAGGGAGCTGAGCTCACTAGGCTCCTCCCAGGCTGAATGATTCTGGGATTGCTGAGCCCTGGAGAGGAGTGTGAGAGAGCCCCAGGATCCGGGAGGCTCCCACCCTCACCACAGCCCAGGGTGGGAAGAGGTGGGCCTAGTCTGTGGTGAGAGACCCTGCAGAGCAGCGCTCCAGTTTTTCTTTTCGGTGTAGTGCTTTTCCTGGGGCCCAGGGAAGGTGCTTGTGCACCTTGTACACAAGTGCTGACCTAAGTCCCATCTCCACGGAGAGAGGGTTCTTGGCAAGGGTGCCATTGGTTTCCTGTGTAAGCGAGACTTTCTGGAAGCCCTTCAGTGTTCATCTGAGTGACCCTTGGTGGGAGCCAAGAGAAGGAGTAGACCTAACCTTGCCCCAGGAAACTCAGACTGGACATGAGACTGTACACAGACCCTGGGGCTTTCCGAGAAGAATGGCTGTGGGCCCCCTTCTCCAGGATAGTTCTGACCCAAAGCCCCAGCTCCAGGCTTGGGGATGTGACTCGGCCCTGGGAGAACTGAGCAGGAGAGAAGCTGGGCGAGAAAGGGCAGTGGTAGGTACATGGGTGCCAGCCAGTCATCTGGCTATTGGACCTGGAGTTGGCAACAGGCCTACTCTGGACTCCGGCCCCTGCTTGAGACAAAACGCAGGGCCCTTCCTGCTCAGTGTGTGGGTCGGGAAGGCCAACAGGCTCTGGGTGCTGGCTGGACTGGGCCAGGACAGGGCCCTTCCTGCTCAGTGTGTGGGTCGGGAAGGCCAACAGGCTCTGGGTGCTGGCTGGACTGGGCCAGGACGGGGCTGCCAAGAAGAACGCAGATTCCACAAGGGCAGGGTTTCCACGCTTTTCTTCACTGCTGGATCCCCGCTTCCTAGAATGGGGCCAAGCCTCTCCAGGAGTAGATGTTGACTAAATAAAAGGAGGAGTCTTAGCACTCCAAGATGAAAGCTACAGACCCTGGGCTCTTCCCCATCCCCACCCCCAGCCCTCAGGGGACCGACCACCTTTTCTTCTCTTTGGCTCAGGCCCTCCCTCTGCTGGGCAGTTCTTTGGTCTCCCAAGCAAGGAAAGGGTGTGGAGGTGCCAGCTGGGTGGGCATGCTGTGGGTTAAAGCCTCGCAAAACAACAGTGTAGTTAATCTTTCTAATTTATTTTCCTTTTAGACCATGGGAAGTCTGTAGGCAGCAGCTGTTACCCAATTAAAATACAGATTAATATAAAAACAGTTTCTGGAATATAAAATAGAGTGGCTGTGTCCTTACACTTCCTTAAAATACCACCTAATAATGACTTGATGAACTACAGAAACCCACCTAGAGGAACCCAGCATTCTTAAAATGAAAATTTCTTCCCTAAAAGGTGTGTATTACCATTCCATGTAAGTCGCTATGAGAAAATAACCTTCCCTCTTAGAGCCAGCGGTTTCTGTGAGTTGGGTATGTGGTGTTCATTAAATGTAATTATAGTTTAATTGGAGTTTAATCCCCACCCCCCGCCCCGCACTTAAAAAAAAAAAAGTTTCCAAGCAGGCCTGAGATGCTACTCTGTCTGGAAGTGGCTGGGGGCATGTCGGCCACCATGATTTCCAGCTGGGCCCACGTCTGTGCAGGGGGCCTCCTGCCGCAAGCCTTCCAGGCAGCCTATCTAGTCTGCGCTTGAGGGGTATTTTCCACTTCAAAACAAAACAAAGCAACAAGCTGGTTTGAACCTAGGCCTGACCTGGGTGGAGCGGAAGCCCTTGAGTCAGAAATTCTCTAGACTAGGTTCGTAGGCTTTTTTGTCTGCTAAAGGTGCCTGTTTCCTGCTTGGCTAGCCGGTATTGAGGGTCCAGGTATGCGGGGTGAAGGGTGGATGCCTGGGGGGCTCCCCCGGCCCATTGCTGGTTTCAGAGGGGGAAGTGCTGGACACCGGCGCTCAGAGAAGGGGTGGACTTGGAACCAAGTGTGCTGGTCCCATGTGAGCATTCCCCGAGTTCTGCAGGAACTTCTGAGAAGCTTGGAGGTGAATTCACTGTAATTCGGGGGGAGTTATTGAGCCTATTGAATTCAGAAGACACATAAAACCAAATTTTCTGCAAAATGAAAGCTGAAACAGGTCTGAGACCCACCCCGTGGTCGGTATGTGGATGTGTACCCCCATCTTGGGGCAGGAAGTTGTGGGGAAACTTGATTCCCAAGGCTTCTGTCAGGTTCGGAGCCTACAGCTGTGCAGGTCAGAGTCTTTTACGGTAGAAGGAGAAAAACAGAAAGGAAAGGATCCAGTCCAGCTTTGAGTCCCTGGGCCCTGGTTTCCCACCCATCGGCTATTTCTCTTTTCTTTCAGCTCACCGGGATTATTCAAGCCATGGTGGATGGTCAGCCAAGCCTGCAGCAAGTGCTGGAGGTAGGTTGAGTGACCTTTAATTCCTGACCTCTGACCCCTTCCTGCTGCCTTCCTCGCCTTCCTCTCCCTCCCCTCTTGAGAATGTAGCCCTGTAATTTGACTATGATTATGGCTTGATTAGAATAACATTTGCTGTCACATCAGTGACATGCTGTTGAGAGTATTGAACCATTGATCTGTCATCTCCAGCTGTTCCCGTCAGGGTTACTGACGAGATGTCCGAGTGCCACCGGGGGTTGGTGGAGGCCCCTCCAGCTCCCGGCCTGTGGCTGTGCTGGCTGGCGGCTCCGGCGGCTCGGGCAGCCCGCGCTGGGCGGCTGGGAGTAGGGGAGCCAAGCTGCAGCACTGCGGGCTGGCCCCGGGGACTGGAGGTGTTTTTGTTTAGCTTTAGTGTTGGCTTCCTGTGGCATGTGAGCACTTCATTAACTCACGCAGAACTCCCCATCGATGGCTTTTGTTTGCTGTCAGCTCCTCCAGGAGGTGCGGCCGGCCCGCCTGCCCCACTGCAGCTTGCCGCTGGATGCATCGTGCCTGTCAGGGGTGCAGAGGCTGCGCTGGGTAATGATTCCTAATCAGAATAATTACAACAATTGCCTATGTGAGGAAAATCAAATTAAAGGCTTTAGAACCCTTGGCAGAGACCACACTTCTGGGATGTTCTCCTCCGGGAGCTGGAAAAGGTTAAGACGCTGCTGCTTGTGCTCCAGCCTGAGGGAGTCAGGAAGCGGTGCTTGGCCTCAGCTCATCTCCCACCCCCGCGGGCCTGGGGTTTTCAGAGAGGGAGAAAGGTCCCCCTCCCACTCCCTTCTCTAGCGGGAGAAGAGAAGAGAAAAAGCCTGTGGATCTCCTTAGGTGCTTTATTTATCTTTAAGAGCAATAAACCCAAAGCTCAGCCCCTATATCACAGGAGAGAGCAGAGTGTCTGGGAGGATAGCAGAGCACATCTGCCTCGGAGGTAGTCCACCTGGAGGGAGCAGGGTGGTGGAGAGGGAGGAAGATCTCTTTCTTGAGCCTAGAGGCCTGTCCCATGGGAGAGAGAAATGCAGACTGAATTTCCTGGGGCTCCTCAGGATGGAACTAGGGCCAGAGAGAGAGGTCTAGGCTCACCCAGTGGCCAAGTGCGTTCCCTGTCCCAGTGAGTGTGCAGGCCCAGGCTCTGTGGCTGGTCAGGCTCTTGTGGGGTTGGGAGAAGATGGGCTCTGAGGTGTCTCCCAGCCCCACTGACCCTCTTTTTTGGGTGGGGAGATTCACCCTATGACTGAGGGGGGTCCTCAGCCTGGACTGCTCCCTCTAGGCCCAGACTCAAGGAGAAAGAGGGGACCTTCCTTCCCTATCTCCCAGCCAGCATCCCAGAGCGAGGCTAAGGGGGCAGGCAGCTTTCCCCTGGAGCGTCTCTGGCTGGGATCCAGGGAGGAAGATGCTTTTTCTGGGCCAGCACCAAACCAGCGCTGTCGAGGTTATGGAGTTTTCTCCATAGTGGCGCTGGTTGAGGGGGAGATTGTTCTTCAGAAGGCTTGCTGCTGCTGACCCCAGGCCAGCTCTGGAGCAGGATGCTCAGAGGATTCTGAGTCTCACCCAGGAAGCTACTTTCTGCTATTTCAGCATACTTGGGGGGTGAAGAGGGGGAGATTCCAGGCATTAGCCTAGATAGGAAGTCTCCGAGAGGACAAGGAGACCAGACTGGGCTCTACTCTTTCCCATTAGCCTTGAGTTGGTTATAGAGCTGAAGAATTAGTTCTTGTCCTAAGCAAGGCCCTGAGCAGATGGCCAGTTAGATGTTTGCCTGACACATTTGTTCTAAGCAGGGCTCAGTCTGCATTCCTCTAGACCTTCAATAGCCAGGAGGGCTGGCTGATTGGGGCTTGTCTTGGTGGTCCCTCCAGCCCTTTATCCATTCAAACAGGAAGGGAAGGAAAAGGACAGGCCTGATTCCAAAAGTATCACTTTCCTGGACAGGCTCGTAGCAGAAGCTGCTCACTAAATGTCTGCTGCATGAGGGAATGGCCTCGGCCCTAAGCTTCGAAGGAGCAGTAAGTGCTTCTCATGGTGAAGCCCTGGTCTTGCTGGGCATTTCCTCCTGACAGTCCTGTCCTGTCCTGTCCTGCTCTCTTTTCCAGGACCACTTGCAGGAATTGGGGCGTTGGGGAGCCCCCTAGCAGGTGGGGCACTTACCTTGGGGATTTAAGGCCAGTGAACTGGAGCGAGATTAGCTGACTTAGGGACCTTCAGGTTTGCCTTACCTCTTTTCTTATGTAAAGTCTGCTTTATTTTCTTTAGGTGACCCTGGGGAAAGGATGCATGTGTGCGTGCATGTGTGTGTGTGTCGTGCAAGGGTTTGGGCCAGAGTGACTGGGGAGACAAACCATTCAGCAGTGGAAGGTCCAGAATTTAGCTGCTGGGGAGACCCTCGGGCTGAGGAGGATTCTCTGGTGTGCAGACTGTGAAGAGGGTCTGCAGAGTCCGATACTGAGGAGTGGCCCTGATGTCCCAGGAGATAGGGCTGCTGTGGTCGTGGACCTAGATGGGATCCTTGGCCCTGTTCCAGGACTGCTTCAGCATGGGCCAGGCCTCCCGAATCTCTGCGGTTCCAGGGAGCCCAGGATTACCATGGGCTCTCCATTACCTGCTGGGCACACAAGGCCCTTCACAGTCTGGCCTAACCTAGTCCCCCAGCCTCAGTTCCTGCCCTACCTTTCAATCACAGCGGACTCCAGTCACATTATTTCTTACTCACATTTTCATCAAGAAGACACTGTGCTGGGTTAGGGATTAAGACGGTGAATAAGACAGCTAAGAGTCCCTGCTGTTGTGATGCTGATAGTATGGTGGGGAAGGCAGACATTAAACAGACAATTGCTAATCAGATACAAAATGTCTGTGCCTAAGCCTTTGCCTCTGCCTGGAGTGTCCTTTCCTGTGTTCCCTGCTGTCAAGCAAACTCTTAGTTTTGTCATCAAGCCCTTAGTTCAGTCATCTTTATGAAGCCTTTCTGACTCCTTTCCCTGTAAAAGGTGAGGCTAGCCTCTGCCTCTTCTTGGTCTGATGGCATCCTGGGTACTTCTCCATTGCTGCCTCTATTATATTGTATTAAGATGATCTGTCTTTCTCCCCTTCCCAGCCTACTGTCTATTTTTAGGTAGGCACTTAATACATTATCACATATAATTCTCAAAACAACCCTGTAAGGTTAGTCATCCTACCTCGTTTTATAGATGACGGAAACTGAAGTTCAGAGGGGTTATGTGACTTTTAAATGACTTCCCATCAGTGACACAGCCAGGATATGGAAGAGCCAAGGTTAGAACCCAGATGTGTCTGACTTTCAATCCCACGTTTCTAACGACTACGCAATATAGCCTTTAAAAATAATCCTCCTGTGTGAGTGGAACAGCAGTGTGATCTGCCGCACTCTTGCCCCATGCCCAGGATCTTCTGAAAAATAGGCAATGCTTCATGAATTCTTTATGACAATTTTCTTGGTATATACTGATTTTAGTATTTGTACTTCCAGTGTGAGGCAAATAATAAAATGGATCAAAGGGATGAAGGGGAAGAAAGACTTAAAGTGTGTTTAGGATTAGTTTCTTTCCCTGTCTAGGAATTGAGCTCAGCCTTCAGAAGATTCCGCTGAATTTGAATCCCCAACCAGGAGAGGAGAAATACAAAGTCTGGGGCCAGTTTATGAGCTTCTAGCGACTGGAGCAGGCAGTGCTATCCCAGTTGTCAAGATGGGCCTATAGCCCGTCAGAGGAGCCTCTTCTGCTAGACTCATGGTGAAAATTAACTTCACCTTCATTTGGGGAATAACCAAATTAATAAATTTGGTTAGTAGACATTTGGTGGGAGGGTGGAATGAATAAATGAGCGAATGAACCTGTGGATTGGAGTTCCCTGCATGGGGCCTCCTCCCAGCCTGTTCTCGTGGCCCAGGACAGCCTGTGAGTGTGCTAGGCTGTGCCTTTGTTTGAGGACCAAAGGTATGTGGACTGACCTACTGGGATCTGTCCTTATCCTGTCCAGGGTGGGCTGCCAGGCACTGGGGGAGTGGAGGGGCCCCTGCCCCCCACCACTTGGGCTTGTGGGATCTGCCTGCAGGGATTGTCCTGCAAGGGCCTCCAAAGTTCCGAGTCAAGACTGAGACCCCAGAGTGGAGGGATAAGATTACAGTTTTCTCCTGCTCTGATTACAAGCAGCTTATCTGCGTTTCACTGTTGGCTCTTCACACTCAGGGAAAAAAAAAAAGGAAAATCTCATCTGTTCTTGTTGTGTACTTTTCAGAGGGTCGATGAGTGGATGGCGAAGGAAGGCCTCTTAGATCCAAACGTCAAGTCAATTTTTGTCACCTGTGGAGACTGGGACTTAAAAGTCATGTGAGTATGAGCAGGACTCCTTTGCTGGCAGGCCTTGGAATCTGCGGGACCAGGTTTTGCCTTTCTCAGGCTCAGATGTCCAAGCCTCAGGGCACCTGGGTCAGGAGTCCCTGGATTTTGGGGTCAGCAGGGCGAGACAAGGGCTGGGAGCCCTGCCTTCTGCCTCTAGAACCAGGAGTGGACAGGCCAAGTACCCTGCTAGTACTGCTGTTGCCTTCTTGCTTTTGCCAGGGCAGCCCATCCTGTTGTGGAGCTACATGTTATTGCCCTGAAAAGAAGGAGGTAAAAGAGGGTCTTAAATTTTCTTCTAAACCAAATACATAGTATTTACTGTTCTAAATGCTTTGGAAATAGTAAGTCATTTACTAACCCTAGGGATTCTTGTTATTCTTATTTTATAGATGAAGACCTTAAGGCACAGAGAGGTTAAGTAACTTGCCCAAGAACACACAGAGCCAGAATTCAAATGCAGGCAACCTGGCTCCAGGGTCCATTCTCTTAACCATTATACTAGGCTAGGCTCTTATCTGGGATACGAGGCCCTGACGGTCCCACGGAGAGCCCATTGTGAGGATGAGAGAGGGATGCTTCTAGGAAGCTGCCCAGGTCACCAGCCTCCTCTTTCCTCCTTTGTCGCCACTGCTTTTTCTCCTTTGTCTCCTGATCCTGCCCCAGTTATGGAAGACAGAACTGGTTCCTCTGCTGGGTTGACACTTCTGCCTCTTGGCTGTCCTCCTGGATACCTGGCTTCAGAGAGCCCCCAAGGAACTAAAGCGGGGTGGAGGTAGTGGGGCACTGTTTGCTGAGGATTGATAGAATCGATACCTCTGTGTTCTTTGTGACTGAAGGTGGCAGCAAGCACTCTGTGTGTGTGTGTGTGTGTGTGTGTGTGTGAGCTTTTGAACATAGGGTAGGGTATTGGCTGGGGTGGGGAGTCGTGGCTCTAGAGTGACATTTCCTACAAATTCAGGCATTACTTTCTCACCAAGATCCTTTTTATGCCTTTTGGATGCTGGGCATTGAGGTGAAGTTCTGCACCCAGGTGGCTGTCAGCCTGCTATTGGACCCAACCCTCTAGGTGAGGCGGGAGGAAGGGCAGGCCTGGATCACATAAGTGCCTGTGCACCTGGATCACGTAAGTGCCTGTGCACCTGTCTCCCTCAGCCCTTAGGTCGTGTGCATGCTGACTGCACACCACAGGCTCCGGAGCTCCCGTTGACGCTCGTTGTCAGGGAAATTACAGTGGCTGGGCCTGGAGGCAGAGCTGAGTCGGGGGAGGGTTCCGCGGAGAAGGTGAGGAGGAGGAAGGCTGTTGTTGCTCTGTTACGGCATCCTGGGCAGCTTTGAGCACTCGAAGTGGGAAGGGGCTTACGAGGAGCTCCAGCACAGGAGAAGCTGTCTGGGGTGGGGCGGGGCTCAGGCTGACACCCAGAGTTCTGGGGCTCATGTGGCCCAGACCAGAGGCCCAGTTTCTCCAGGTAGCCTTCTGAGACTCCCACTCTCCCAATGGGTTTCTCTCTTTGGTGTATTCATGTCCCAAACACCCAGTTTCAGCATCTTCTGTGATGGCTGTGAGTGGTGTGTACTTATATGTGTATATGAAAGCTTTCCTGTGCATGATGTTGGGGACCGTCTGGTTGGTTTCTGCACGAGAAGGAGAGGAGATGCCATCTTCCTTGGGTCTGGCCTGTGCTGGCCTACAGCACCAGTTCAGGCCTTGGCACGGTAGGCCCTGGACAGATTTTGGTGACTCGGGAGGCTGCTTTGCATCTTCATGAGAACTGGTGTAATGAAGAAGAGGGATAGGGTTGGGGAATCAAATTACACATAAAAGGAAATCAGATGTTAATGAGCACATACTATATTTCACTCAGTCCTCCTAACTGCCTTCTCGGGTAGGAGGTGGTGCCTCCCTTTTATAGATGAAAAAAACAAAGCACAATTAAAAACTGAGGCTCAAATTGGCAGACTCAGAGGTAGGCAGAATTGAATTCTTAAGGCCACATAGCTTCCAAAAGAGATGATTCTGGCGGACTTTGGTGGCTGGTTTGGGTCTGGCTCGGGAAGGCCAGTGAAGCTCTGAAAGCCAGTGAGCAGGGAGGTGGCAGGTGGCAGGTGGCTGGGGGAGGAGACCTCTGTGTCTGCCTTTTAGAAGCAGGACCCCACATAACTGCTGGGAAGCCTCTTAATTAAATGTGTAGCAAAATAAAAACAGCCAGAGAGGAAATCTAAGTAGTGCTGCGTGACGGTGCACAGCTTTTCCATGTTCCTGGAGCCTCTCGTCAGATGGCTGTCGTCAGAACAGCCACTTTCTCACACGCCTGGTAAAGCCTGCTGATGAGCCTGACAAGGGTGGTGTTAAACTGACACCCACAACTTGTTAGTATGTGGCTCACTTCTTATTTTGACATCCATTTTCAGATTTAACTAAGTCTAAGGAACTCGGCAAATATTTTCATTTCCCACTCTAGTCTCTCAGAGCCATGGTTCCCTCTCGTTGCTGTCCTTCCCCTCTCCCAGCCCCCCTCTCCCTCCAACCAGCTTCACATCACTTTTTTTTTTCCACATCAGTTTTGTTGGAAAGGGCCTGATTAGTGAGGCACTGAGAAATGGGGACTGAAGTGGCAGCGGAAATCCCACTGGAGAAAAGAAATCTGCTCCCATCCTGACAAAATTGTTTTGTGTCCATCTTTGGTCAGTCTGAATGGGTTGACACTCCGGTTTACATGGGCTTTGATGCTATCATCACAGATCCTGCTACGGTGGGTTTTAATTTAGGGGGTGCAGATTTAATTTTCCTTCTAAACCTGTTTAAGAAACGACACTCATGGTTTTGGCTCTTGGTCAGCTTGCCTTTCCTACCTGACCTACCTTTCCTTTGCCTTACCTGGTGTTTCTTGAAGCTCCTTGTAGAGTTTAGCGTTCTTTCACCAATTTTCTCTCTTTCCACGTACCCAGGCTCTCTGTATTGTCTCTGTGAAGGGCTTCCACCTTCAGCGTGGTGGGAGGATAGGGCGGATGCGGAGTGAGGAGTGACACCGGCACAGGTGCTGCCCTTGAGGAACTCAGCTTTTCACCTGTAGCTTGGTGACCTGTGTTTACCAGCTGAATAGCACAGGTAGCTGAGAAGCTAGACCAAAGGCTTTTCCAGTGGCCTGTGGGTCTGAGATCAGGAGGACTGGGGTGTGGGCTGGGAGTGGGGGACAAGGAAGAGCTGATATGAGGGTGGACCTGGTCCTCGGTGCCATCTGGGAGGGGGCCCTCTGGAGGAGAGGGGCAGGATCAGCAGACACCGCTGTGGGGAGGCAGGGCCCAGGGGTCCGCTCAAGGTCTGCTGAGAGGGTCCTCCTCCCCCTCCCCCTCAGCTTTGGAATAGCGAGTTTTCCTGCCATTGGAGGTCGACTGTGTGAATGCGGGCCTGGTATTTGACTTTAGTTGTTTTCCTTGCTTTCCTTGTGAGGTGTGCATACTACACCCCTCTGTTGGTGAAAGTCTGGAGATCAAGAGATACTTGCTCAGCATTTAACATTATTTTGTGTGAGACCATCTGAACTAATTTTGCAACAAAAAAACTCAGCCACCTGGGTAGAAAGCTTTCTGAAAAAAGAATGATAATTTATTAGAGTGCCAATTGGGGGAAAGCACTTAATACTATGCTGTCCAGCCAAAGGAAATGAGATCTATTCCAATTACTTCAATACTCTGACATGAAGTTTTTTGTGTTATTTTGTTCTTTATTCATCATGAAGAAGACCAATCAGGAGGCAGGTGGAAGCATCTGTGTGAAAGTCACACCTGAATTCACACTCTTTTTTTTTTTCAGATGACTGAACCCTTTCCAGACTGCATAGGTTTCCCTTCTTGTTGTTTCAAGTACAAACAAACATGATGTCTCTGATTGAAAAAAAAAAAAAAAAAAAAAAGACACTTGCTCATATTACCCTACTCACTGCTTGATTTGGGGGCATGCACTCAATGGGGACTACTGAGGGTCACGCAGCCAAGACTGTGGAAGAGCAGAGACTGCTGTCACCTGGAGTGAAGTCTCATGGCGGTGGAAGCACCCGCCTGGGGAGCACTGTGGGGCAGGGACTGTCTCGTGGGGCGTGTAGATGAAGGCTGAAATGCTGAGCCGGTGACATGCTTGATGGGGGTCAGTCTGGGCCCTCTTGGCATCATTCAGCAAAGCTGACCACTTCATCCTTCTTGAAGCACTCTTCATTTCTACTTATGTCTCCTGTTTCTCTGACTTTTCCTTCACAGTACTTTTGGCAGATTCTTCTTTCCTTTTTTCTTAAATTTGGTGTTTCTTAAATATTGGTATTTCTTCGACCTCTCTCCTAGCTGTCTTTTCTTTTTATCTGACACACTCACACTTATCAGAGTGATCTATTCCCCAGCTTCAGTTATCCTCTGTATGCTGTCTTCTCATTTTTCCTCCATCTGAGAAGTGGGAACTGACATGGCAGCAGTGATCCCACTGGAGAAAAGGAATCGGCTCCATCTGCCATCTGAACTCCAAGCCTTCATATCCAGCCCCTGTTCTCTCTCTCACCTAGATATACACCGACCCCTTAAAGCTCAGGTGTTACTTGTCTCCCAACACCTTGTCTTCCACCATTCTCTTAAATAATGATTGACTGGTACCATCTACTCAGTAGTTCTGTCAGAAACCTGAGAATCACCCTTGGTTCCTCCCTTTAGCCATAACAAATTAATTGCCAAATCCTATTGATCCTTTGTCCCAGAGGTTTCTCAGAGTCTTTGCCTTCTTTCCAAACCCAGTACCACTGCCCTAGTTCAGGTCACCATATTCTTCTTGGATTCCTACGAAAGTCTTCTTTCTCACTGGTCTCTCTGACTGTCTTGCTTCTTCTGTTCCTTTCTCCTAATTGTAGCAGATTACATCACACCTGCTTAGCAGCCTTCAAGGCTTCCCCTTGCCCTCCAGGCAAAGTCACACTGTTTATTGGAGCTTTCAAGGCTCTTGTTTATTTCTC